CCCTACTTCAAATACTAATCACCCGATCTCAATAGTCATTAGTACATTTAAGTTATGATCGGACGCACTACAGTGTACGACCGGACGTAGGACCCCAGCGTCCGGTCACTTCCAGTAAGGTACCACTCGCGATCGAACGCGTCAGTTTGATCTCGACCAGACGCAGAACTCCAGTGTCCGGTCATTTCTAGTAAGGTTCCACTCATGACCGGACGCGCCCGACCAGACTCGCCCAGTGTCCAGTCACTCACCGTCTCCTCTATGCGCCACCACATCAGCACGACCAGACGCCCGACTAGACTCGCCCAGTGTTCGGTCACTCACCGTCTCCTCTGTGCGCCGCCACATCAGCACGACCAGACACTGAATAGTGTTCAGCCAGAGTCCGGTCGCCTACGTCCGGTCAAGAGACTAAGAGTACCATCTTCTTTTATAATTGACCGGACGCTGCTCCCCAGCGTCCGGTCACCACGTGACCAGCGTCCGGTGCACTCTGTGAAAACATATCTTTTCGGTATAGGGCGCCGGTGAAGTTTCAAACCCTTGCTCCCAAGTGCTAAACACAATGTGTATCACCTTTGTGCATGTGTGTTAGCATATTTTCACAAACATGTTCAAGGGTGTTAGCACTCTACTAGATTCTAAATGCATATGCAATGAGTTAGAGCATCTAGTGGCACTTTGATAACCGCATTTCGATACGAGTTTCACCCATTTTAATAGTACGGCTATCGATCCTAAATGTGATCACACTTTCTAAGTGTCTCGATCACCAAACCAAAAAGCTCCTATCAATTTCACCTTTGCCTTGAGCTTTTTTATTTTCTCTTTCTTCTTTTCCAAGTCCAAGCACTTGATTATCACCATGCCATCATCATCATATCATGATCTTCATTTGCTTCACCACTTGGAGTAGTGCTACCTATCTCATAATCACTTTGATAAACTAGGTTAGCACTTAGGGTTCATCAATTCACTAAAACCAAACTAGAGCTTTCAAAATGCCATAATTAAAACCACTTTCCCTATAGTAATCAACATCTAGAATAAACATCAGAAATCGAATGGAAAGTCCACTTAGAAGATGAAATATATAAAATGGATGTCATATGGTAAGATGGAATGGGAACAATCTGACCCAATTCCACGATAATTGTGAACACATAAAAACCACAAATCTCAAATTCAGACAGAAGAGGCAAGTGGCATTGATAAAGTCACAAACAGCCGTTGACGCTATCCCCAACTCCATTCATCTACAATTGCCTCCCACTGCCAGAGAGCTACTTCACCACGGTGAGATACCACCCCAGATCGCCGCTGTCTCGTTGATGCGTCAGCAGCCACAGCGCAAACTCCATGGCCACCGCTGTCGTCAACAGGCATGGCCGCCGCCACCGTCGTAGGCTAACTTTTTTTTGAGCAAAGCGTCACCCTTCTTTATTCACTAGGATAACTAGTACAAGCTCCATCAAGAGGAGCAACAAACCAACACATGTCTTTCTACCAAAAAAATTACAGAACTCCTAGCTAGACAATAAGCATCAACATTGGAGGGTCTGCCTTCATGAACAAACTCCACTCCTATGAAGCTTCTCGTCCGAGTCTTGATTTCTAGGACGATTCGCCCGTACCTCACGAAAACCCTCACCATGGATGCTTGTAACTGCATTGATACAATCACTCGCCACCCTGAGAGTTTGGAGGCTAAAAGGTCCTAAATGGCTAGAGGGGGTGAATAGCCTAATAAAATTTTGTACAAAACACTAGAGCAAATAGGTTAGACAACTAAATGGCATAAATGTGTTTTGCTCTAGCTCTACTAAAGTGTTGCAAGCCACCTACCCAATTCTAATGGATATAGTCTCTAAGTCACACAAAAGAGCTAAGTCCCTGCTACACTAAGGGAGCTAGTTAGCACAAGATTTAACTAGAAACAACAACTCAACTAATTACTCGACTATCCAACTAGCTAAGCAAGACTACAACTATCACTAAACAAGTATATCAAGAAAGTAATATAAGAGTGATAGAGATATATAAGGAACCGGGCAAGAGTCAAATCAATACAAGAATACCAATGGAGACACAATGATTTAACCCAAGGTTCGGTTGCTTGCCGGCAACTTACGTCCTCATTGTGAAGACACACTCACTTGGTGGTTCACGCGCTGATAGGCATACACAAGCCTAGCCTTACACAAAGGCGCCATAAGAACCAACACAAGATGAGGGTACACAAGTCACGAGCATTCCACTAGAGCTTCTTTTGGCGCTCCGCCAGGGAATAAGCACAAGGACCCCTCACAATTATGCCGGGTGTGGCTACGAACAATCACCAACTTGTGCCAACACTCCTCCGTTGCTCCAAGCTATCTAGGTGGCGGCAACCACCAACAGTAACAAGAAAACCGCAGCAACAACGATCTCCAAGTGCCACTAGATGCAATCACGCAAGCAAATGCACATGGAATCACCCAATCTCACTTTGGATGCACAATCAAGCAAGGAGATGAGTGGGAGAGGTTTGCTTCGGCTCACAAAGATGTATCAATGATCAAAATATCCAAGAGAGTGGGCTAGAGCCGGCCAAACCACTTAAATAGACCCCAAGGCTCCACTAGCCGTTACCCCTCGAAACGTCGTTGGACTGAGGCTCCGGACCCGGACTCATGGGAGCTCAGACCATGAGCCGTGGGTCCGACGCCTCCCTGCATTCAACGTCGTGCCGCCACATGTCCAGTCGACTATTGGCGCGTGCAACGGCTAACTCAGCGTGCTCGACTGAGGCTCTGGACCCGCACTGCGTCCCGGCTGGACCAACGAACACCAAGATTCGGCACACTCCAGTAAGCATTTAGAGAGCACAAACCGCTCCGGACCAAGTCCGGCCAGTACCTCTGAACCAAGCTTGGGTGGGTCCGACACGTTTTGCCTGCTCTCACATGTTACTAATTGGAATTATGTATTCTTGGCCTTCCTTATTTCTTTATTTAAAAAAACTATTAATAATTTGGAATGCTTTAGCTTTGGCACATGTATTTAGAGCTTGGATGGTGTGTTCATCCGATTAGAGCTATGTTTATTATTAATTATCAACAAGGCGCCTGTAGCTCAGTGGATAGAGCGTCTGTTTCCTAAGCAGAAGGCCGTAGGTTCGACCCCTACCTGGCGCGAATTTTGTTGAGTTTTTTGAATTTTTATCACTGCCATTTAATACAGTTTCAGTGACTTCAATGAAGCATTTACCACATCAGGGGCTGTTTGGCAGTCTGTAAACGTGGATTATTTACTGCTGGCTGGTTTGGTGCGAGAGAAAAAATACTGTTCCAACTTATAATCCACGATCGTATACGAGCAAGCGAATAGACCGGCTAAAATTGTTTTGTTATGAGAGAAAAATATAAGTTCAAGCGAGGCCCAGGAATTCAACTCGTGTCAGACTTTTTTTCCCAGTACTAGTACTGTACATTGGACTAGTATGAACTAGTTTTTCGGGCGCGCCTATGCGCGCGGTCCACTGGCCACACGTATTTTTTGGAGAAGAAAAAGATATAATCAAAGTTGGGCTGTATTTTGATTTGAGAAAAATCTGAGGATGTTTTCGTAAAAAACGGTGAGAGTGTCTGTGGAGAGCGAGTTGATTTTCGATAAAGTGGAGGTCTTTTTGCAAACAAACCATTGCCCATCCCCAGCGTTGAATTAGGCTTTTTGTAAAAAATTACGAGAGGACGTCTGGAGCGTGGGTTGAGAAAACTTAAAGGGTTTTTCAGTAAACGACCAGCTACTCTGGGCGTACTGTACATTGGACGAAAAGCGGCGACGTGGCCACCTGAGTAGGCGCCAGCCGTATGTACACCAAATCATATCTTTAGATTTTCTGATAGCACTCCAGCTCCTGCAGAGATGATGGGCCTTTTGCCGTTCTTCTCAACAAGCGCCCAAACTAGAAGGACCTAGCTTTATTACATGTACTCAAGTAAATATCCATTATTTTTATTAAAAAAAGTATACCCATAGAGTATACATGCATATGTATTAGGAAAAAAATTAGATCTCAAATAATAGGGTATCCAAAACAAAAGCCCAATAAAAGCCAATGCCCGGCTCGTGACTCCCATCGATTCGGCATTTCACCGCTCCCCGATTCCCGTTCCAAAATTCAAACCTCCATGGTTTATCATATTCTTCACTTCTATTTCTCTCCTTCCATTACTCAATTCGACTTCGAAAGAAAATTTCTTCCTCTATCCTTCAGTCTATTATTCCTTACTTCTACTCCTTCTGCCACTAACTTCAAATTTGACCCTTCTTACTTTCGTGGTCCATCACTCACTCCCACCCCTCTCCTTCCATCTTTTGGCTCGTCATTGTTCACTTAGTTTAGAGTCACAAAACATTTACTAATGTCACAATAACCATGTGGTGGCATGGCTGACCAAACCCGAGTCCATGCTCGTGACTTTAATTTGGCAGACACCTTCACAGATCTGGGCCACCGGGTTGTCAGCAGCAGAACCAGAAGGGTGGATTCACCTGGTTTATTCAGAAAATATCGACTTGAAGGCGGTACATAAGCAGGGCCTGCATCCACTGGGAATCTGGGATGCACTGCACATAAAACAGCATGTCCAGTATATACTATTGTAATAATAAAAATTCAGTATGTTACATATCTAGACATTTTCTTACCAATGCCGCTATGTTTACAATGAAGAACTTTACACATTTGATTTGGTTCCAACATGGGTTTTTTTTTTTTGCCCCTTCCACAGTTCAGTTTCATCACTTTCCAAAGAAGTACTAAATTCTTTTTTTGCTCCTTTTTGTTTGTTCGGTGGCATAGCTATCCATCCTCTTGTATACATTCCCTAGCTTACTGCCCACAACATCATCAGTAAGATGATCAAAGTCAGAACCTGATGTACCCTATTGTGTAATTACTATACTAGTATATAAAAAACAAAAAACAACATACTTATTTTCCTGACCACTGTTATCTAATCTAGATCAGAAGCTGAACGCTGCTGCGGAAGTTGCATGCTGGAGATGTCCTCGCGGGGCAAATGGCCCAGAGAGCATTCTGCTCCAGCACCTGCACTGCTACCAGACACTGCAAGCTCAGCATCGCTCTCCAGCAATGGCTGGGTGGACTTCCTGTTCCTCCGGAAGACGAGGTATAGGATTGCGACTATGTAAATCAGCATGCCCAGGAACCCGAAAATCCCCGAAAATACTTGGGAGACGGTGGACAGCCCGCTGTGGAGGAGTAATTTCACAAAGCTTGTTATCAGGAAGTAGGTGTTGATGATAACGATAAGCGAGCCGATCACCCATGTCAGCACAGAAGTCTGCATTTGACGGTCAAGTTAGACGAATTAGTATGTAAATTAAAGGTTGTTATTGTCAATTCTGTGACAAATCAACTTACGAATATTGAATTTGTGTGCTGCCCCATCTTTGTTTTGCTGCTGGTGAATTTAAGGAGTGGAACTAAAGCAAAAGGGAGTTCAAATGACAGTATCATCTGCACGTAACCGAGCAAGGCATTAGTAAACACATATGAAACTGAAAAACTTCATTGACATGAGTAATGAGGTTAAACATAATAGAACTGTTAAGTTTTTGAGGTATAATAGAGTATATAACAGTAAAGTTCACTGATTACCGATGCAATGATAATCAACTGGCCAGCTGCTGAAGAACCACCAATAATCGACACGATCAAACTTGGCAGAATAGCCAAGGACCTCGTGACAAGATTACGTATCCATGGTTTCATGCGAAGATTTAAAAACCCCTAGATTAGGTGAGTAAATGTTAGTCTGTGGCAAATGAAGTTTCATAAGTCTGAAATGCTTGGTTATTTACTTAGTTTTCGTTTAGTCAAAAGAATAAAATAATTAAGACGATTCAAGGCATTTCTTGAGACAAGGGAAGACAACAAGCAGCGTATTGTGTTAAATAATGTGTTAAATAATGGTGGTGACCTATGGTTACCCCGGAACGGTCCATTTTTTTCTGCAATCAAACTGACCAAGAGAAACTTGGAGGTTGGGACTCAAGCTCAGAAGCCCAAGCTTCTTCATGATGCAAATCAAAGAATTATGCACTAATTTATTTTCTGTACTTCTCATATCTAACAGCTAGACAAACTAATGTTGCAAGCAAGCAAATGCTTGGTTACCTCTGATCAACATCAAAGGCCTCTCAAGTATTATGCATCATGAAATAGCTTGCCATTCAATTTGCGAGCTAGGACTGAAATAAGGTATAAGTTCCACAAACCTGCATGACATATTGTCCAGCATACGTCCCTGTAATTGTAGAACTCTGACCAGAGGCCAACAAGGCAACTGCAAACAACTTTGAGCTCCAGTTTCCAAGGACATTCTAAAAGAACAGTAAAGAAAAAGCAATGTCAAATCAGAATATTTACAGAAAAGTACATATAGACTTCATAAAGAACATTTGAAAACTGAAGCATAAACTCTATGTAAAGCTATCTGCCTAGTTGGTGTCAGAATTGCTTTTTGCCAACGGGTTGTTTTTATAGTTTCTGTCTTTCTGCCTTAATACTTTCCTGACAGGTTCAGAAAAGAGAAGGAAAGAGAAATAACCCTAACTGAGTGAAAAATACAGAAGTTGTTCTAGCACAAAAACAATCTATTTATGAATTTGACAATTATATGAAGACTGAAACTTCTTGACCAACCTTTAACAAAAATGAAGCCTTGTTTAGGTCCAGATCACTGCAGTTCGCCTGATCTTCTGGGTTCAAATTACCTGAACCACAGACAGCACCACTGACAGATATGATGGATATGTTGATGAGAAAAGCTACTGTAAGGGCGAATGCACTTTCAATCGTATAGAATCTGCATGCCTCCTGCAAGAGAGTGAATTGTTGGAAGTAAATAGATGTTTAATCATCTGAAAATTGGAATAACACATTAGGTCAGTATAAGGAGAATTAGAGGTTACCTTGATCCCATGAACCGACCGTGGCACTTTTCTTGATAATACTAATGCCGAGTGCAGAAAAAGATTATGCCTGCAATTTATGTAACAGATAAATGAAAAAAGGCCTTGTGTTAAAAAATTGAATGCTTGGGAACAGACAGATAGACAAGAAGCTTACGGCATCACCATAGCACCAAGTAACGAGATAGCAAGACCTGTAGCTCCATTTCCTTTAAGTTCAGGAACAAAAAGGCCCCTCACAACTTCTGAAGCATTTGGTTTAGAATACCCAAGTTCAACTAAGAAACAAGTTGCTATTAGGAACACCAGAAATGCAATCAGAAATTCTAGCTTACGGACCTGCATCAAAAAGATCACAGTATGCAATATGAGCCACTCAAACAAGACAGATATGAATGCTATCTGTTAACTAAAGTCATTGTATTGATGATCTAGTCTATACTTTATCTGTTATTAAAGCTGCTTTAAATAGAATTTTGGTTTGATGTTTTTTATGGTATTGAAACTCTTAGCAAAGAGTAACTAATCGGAAATATTTAGAAATGTAATATGAAATTGTCTTACCCCATATTGCTGTAGTAATAAGAGCATTAGAGTGCTGAGTCCAGTTATTAGAACACCACACCAAACTGGGATTCTGAACAGCATGTTCAGAGCAAAAGCAGTTCCAATTACTACAAAGAGTAAAACGCCGCCTTAGCTGATAAGAAATTACAAGAGAACTCAACATAAAGCTAAAAGAATCAGTTGTGTGATCTGCCAGTTTGAAAGACAATTTTCCAATTTATATCTAGTAAAGAATTAGTATCATGACATCTGCAGTATTACTAAATGGCTGAATTGTAAAATCCATGTAGCTCTGTGCTTAAATGAACAGTAAAAACACGCCAAAGCAACTGAAATATATTTTCGATACCTTCAGGAATGTCACATGCAACAACAGCAAGTTCTGCAAGAATCCATAGGACGAAATTTGTGACCTTGGGATATTCAGCCCTGCAATGCTCCGCAAGATGTTTCCCTGTCATACGGAGGAATTTCACAAACTATCAGCAATGCTCACAATGAAAAAAAAAAACTCGACCTGCGGGGGTTATGACGGCCCCCGGGTTTTCCGTTAAGAAGAAGGATCTTCTCACACAGATCGAGAAAACCCCCGAACTCCAGCCCCCATCCTGACACAGGAGGTGCCGTCACCCTGTGAGAACCGGGCCGGAGCCTTCCACTGCGCTTTGGCACATGGGGACGGGCGAGGGGATTTTTTTAACCTCAGCCTGAAATCCGCTCCCACGGGGAGTCGAACCCAGGACCTGAGGAGTGCCGCTGGGTCACCTAACCGTTTGAGCTAGGCGCACAAAGATGGATTGAAGGAAGCAACAAATTAACAAAGATAGGTACCGCAAGGGTAAAAATACCAACCTGTCACAACCCCTAGCCTGGCTGCAAGTGATTGAATAATAAGAGCGGCGCAGGATGCAACAAGTATGATCCAAAGAAGCTGCAATTGAAGAATGCGATCATAATTCGTAGTTAGAGATTAGCATGACATAACTTAATGGAAGAAACTCGACCTAAAGGAGAGTTAGGATAGGCATACGGAACCAAAAAAGAAAAAAAAACGCACACACACAAGTGGAAACAAGAGATGGAAGCAGCAGGCACCTCATATTTGTACTGTGCTCCAGCCTGTAGATCCGTCTCAACTGCAAGTCACACCAAAAATAATTGTCAAGAGTACATAAGAGATGGAAAGGAAATACTCAATGAAAATCGAAGAAAAGTGAATCCGTTTGATCTTACAGTTGCCAGGATCAATATATGCAATTGAGACGAGAAATCCAGGCCCTATGTATGAGAACAAGTTCTTCCAACTGTTTTTCTGTCAAAGTCGCAAATCAGGCAGTAGTTAGTTTCTCATCATTCTGAAACCATCAGATCCAGAGATACAAAAGTTAGTAAAGCAATCTAAGTATATCATTGTTTCCTATTCACTTGTTGACTGTTTCCTCTATTTCTCAACAAAAAGCTAATATTCAGTTCTTCGGCCTTCCTGAGCTGTGTCACATCAGGTTTGAAACTTCAGATGGCACACATCACGACAACATATTCAGATAGGATAGGAGGATTATCTTGAGAAAGGAAGAATGGGATTAACAATTAGGCTTAAATTTTAGCTGTGATGGTGACATCTTGTTCTTTTCCAAAATCAAGCAGGACTATCAAAAGTGTAGCATACCTCTGGAATAACAATTTGATCAACATCTATGCTTTCGATAAGAGGAGTGCCGGGACCATTCGAGCGGTTACTCCTCCCAACGCTGGTCATAAATTGTGGCTGGGATTGACTTGGGCCACTCATATCGCTCTCGCCCAAGAAGTCTGAACCCAGCTGTTCTGCAAGCACAAGGCAGCAAGGGGGGGTTATTTATAGGTACTCTTCCTAATGACGCTAGCTTAGTGCCGTGAGTTTGAAAAATATGCCTAGCGGAGGTGTGACAAAGTCTCCGGTAGGATAGCACGAATCAGTGCCACCACAGGGCACAGGCAGGCGAAGATAAGATAAACGAACCAAGGAGAGCAGAGCACAGTGGATCGAAGAAAAAGGGGAGCGCACTGTATGCCTCTGAAAACCCGAAAAGTAGTAATTTCAAATATTTGAACCTAATTTGATCTGGCAAATGGGACGACGCGACGACGCTGCGCACCAACTTTACACATCGATGAAATATTCCCCTGAGCAGATTGAGCGGTCCAGAGGTAAAGGAAGTTGAGCCGAGCGTGTGATCAGCAGCGGAGCATCAGGAATATAGAAATGACAGCGCGTAGTATTGAAATGCAAGACTCGACCTTTTCCCCATACTTCAGCTAATCGACGCAACAGAATCCTTAGGACACAGGCGCATGCGAAGGGAGAAATTAAAACAGTGGAAAAAGGGTCGCAAGTGGCATGAGGTCACCTATCAATCTCGGACACCACAAAAGCAAGCAGAGCTAACCACCATTAGCTGGAAAAGTTTGCTACCAAATCGGAATTAGATGGAACCTGGATGCCCGAAAGAGGAGGATCCAGGATCACAGAGCCGAGCAGCCAACCAAGCATACAGACTACAGAGGCAACCCAAAGGAACGTTTTGGGGGGGGGCGGGGCGCGAGGGACTCGTCTTTGGCGTGACGGCCGCAGTACCACGGAACTAAACCGGAACTGCCCACCGCAGCCGCACCAAGGCGGTGGCGCAACGGGGAGGCCGTGCCGAGAACGTTTGGGGGGAAAAAAACTCGTCTTTGGCGTGACGGCCGCAGTACCACGGAACTAAACCGGAACTGCCCACCGCAGCCGCACCAAGGCGGTGGCGCAACGGGGAGGCCGTGCCGGATCTGAGGCAGCGCGGACCCGTGACGCCGGGGGGGAACTGGGCAGGCGTACCTGCGGGTCTCCGCGAGGCGGCGTGAGGCGTGGGGAGCCGAGGCAGAGCAGAGGGGAGAAGAAGGAAGCACGGCAGAGGCGCCGCGCCTCGTCTCCCGCTCTCTGGCTCGTTCCGAACACGACGGGGACTGCACGGAGTCGGACCTCCCCCGCCTTTGCTTGTGCGGCCGTGCTGCGGGCTGCGGCCACGTAGGGTGGGGATGGAGCACGTTTTCACTGGAGATGAGCCCACAGCTGACTGCCCACCCCGGAGACCGGTGTTTCTCTACCAACTTTACCCGGGCACCACGGCACCGCCACCGCCACCGCCACCACCACCAATTCGTGATTCATCAACCGACCGTAAAAACCCTTCATTTTACGAAATCGCGGCCAAACGCTTCGTTCTGTGGAATTTAAATCCACATCCAAAAATATTAATCTAAAGGCCAGATCGATAAATTTCATAAAGCGAGATGCTCCAAAAACTGAATTTTGTACATCCTCGATTCTATTCTTCTATTCGCGCGTCCGTCCCCTCCCCTCCCCCGCTCGCGATTGACTCTCATTGCCGCCGCCGCCACACAAGCGGCCCAGCCGCCAAATACCTCCGGCTGAGTACGACCTGTGACCGCCGGAATGGGTTGGCCCGGACGCCCGGTCATCCTCCACCCCTTTCCGCGACGATGCGGCGGTCGGGAAGGTGAACTGCGCGGCGTGGATACGGCGGCAGGACGATGACGGCGGGCCGCCCGGCGTCTCCCGCCTCCTCGTGGCGTTCGGATGCGGCGCCACGTCCTCGTCCCCGCCGCTCGTCGACCTCTTCGAGTTCGACGACAAGGCATCCAGTTTGAGCCCCTGGTGAGTGCTTTCCCCAATGCACCCTGTTTGGCCGGTCTGATCGCGAGCTGGGCTTATGGGCGCTTGCTTGCTTGTGGTGTTGCAGGCGGGGGTCACCGTAGGCGAGGAGGCAACGGACACGCCGCGCGATCGCCGTGCGCCCCGGCTGCCGGGAGCTCGTCTGTGCAACAGCCAAAGGGTGCAGGTGAGCTTTTTTTCCTGCCTGCCTGAATATTCATGAAGAATTGAACTGTCATCGCCTGCCAGATTTGGTTGTGTATGGGTAAAAGGATTGAATTGTCTCTGCCTGCCTGCCTGCCTGAATCTCCATGAACTTCACTATTCACTAGTACTATTTTGAAGTTGTTTTCCTCTATGCTGAATTACACATTCTCCAGGTTCGTAATGCAGAACGTTTTGAAGCATGTATCTAGCTGCCTCCTTGTAATCATCGGAAACAGCCCTTTGTTTGCTACATGAGGATCACTTCTTCTAGTTTTGGACTTTTGACGTCAACATAAATTGTGCATTGAAAAAATGACTAGATTCTTTTCACCACACATTGTAGCCTTCAATTTCCAACAAAAATTCAATAATTTCACACATTAAACACCGATACACATAGCTATCTCCTTATCGTCCTTGTTTCTATTCATTTTTTCTAAGTCACTTTGCAGATATAATTTTCACATATTGTTTGTATACACTGTCCTGTAGCTTGTCGAACATTCGGAAGTATGCACTCCTCCAGGTCTTCATAAACAAGAAAATAACAAACACCATCCACAGCCCCATGACATACCCTACAGCCAACCCAAGATAGAAGTCTCTCTTCTTTGGCATGTTTTCAATGGGGTAATCTTCAGTTGCATCTGGTCCAGAACAGATTGTAGAAAGAGGAGGTCCACAGAGATAATTGTTTCCGATATACATGGATGCTGGATCATCAAGTGCTTGAAGCTGATTTCCCAAGGGTATTCTTCCAGAAAGATTGTTATAGGACAGGTTTAAGTGGATCAATGCTGTTATCTCTGATATGCTCCAAGGAATTTTACCAAAAAGCTCATTGAATGACAGATCAAGATATTCTAATTCACTTAGCAGGCCAATCTTCTCTGGAATCTTTCCAGATAACTGATTATGGGATATATTCAAATTTATCAGTCCAGTTAGAAGTGTTAATTCATCTGGAATATCTCCAACTAAATTGTTGCAGGATAAATCAAGGCCAACCATATATCTCACCGTACTGGTGTAACCAAGCTCTTGTCCTTTCATTACTATTGGTATGTTATCGTCATAACTGACTGAAGATTTAATCTCAAATAACACTGTGATAGGCCTTACGTGCAACCTCAACAAAGGGTTATAAAATCTTCTGCTATTCTGAGCCATTGCTTTTAAGTTGGCCAAACCATGAGGTATAGTTCCTGATATTCTATTATTTGCAAGGTCCAAGAATTGGAGATTTCCATGTTCTGTGAGCTGAAGTGGAATAGAACCAGAGAACATATTATACCACAACAAGAGATATGCCAAATGTTGCAGCTTGTCTGAAATCCATGCTGGCATCTCTCCAGCAAAGGTGTTGTGGGCAAGATCAAGAACAGTCAACTGTGGGCTGTGTTGCAAGAGTTCAGGAAAATTGCCAGACAGGTTGTTTCTGTACAGTATCAGACCTGACAGTTGAGTGAGCGTGGACTCGGGTTTGAAATTTCACTTAACATCTTTTCTTTCCGAACACAGAGGAAGTTGTCCCACCAGAAGGTTTTCTGAAAGATCCAACACTTGCAGATGTTGTAGTTGACAGAAGTATGTTGGAATGGTTCCGTTGATACGATGTGCAGACAGTACCATTTCTGTAAGCATTGGAGCCCCAAATTTTCTCGGAAAAGGTCCTGACAAAGAGTTCTTGGAAATTTTACATAACCGCAAACTTTGTGGTAACTTTGGCAGCCGACCTGTTAAGTCATTTGAGCTGAGGTCAAGCGCTTGCAATGAAGACAGAAGTTCCAATGTCATTGGCAGACTGCCGTTTATTTGATTACTGGAGATGTTTAAAAATTTAGTGTGTGCAAATACTCTGCAAAACCAATCAGGGAGAAGATCAGCTATGCCTGCATCCAAAATGTCGAGATAGGTGACACTACTCTGCCCTTTGAGCCACCTGGGAAATTGAGGTCCTATCTTGGTACGGGCAAAAGAAGCATACTGCAGGCTAAATGTTGGGGACCAATTTGAACTGATGTGTACTGGGTTGTAAGATAAGTCCAGATACTCCAGGTTTTCCAAATTTGCAAGATGGTCTCTTGATATAGAACCATTTAAGTGGTTGTTGTCTAGATACAATCTTTTCAGATTAGCCAGCATACCAATTCCCAGAGGTATTGATCCTAGAAGCCTATTATCAGAGACTAAAAGATCACTCAAATTTCTCCACTCATCTATCCAGTTTGGAATCGGCCCACTGAGGTTGGTAGCAGACAGATCTAAGGATTGTAACGTACTCTTTGTGCATGCAGGTAATCTCAGGTTTAGAAATCTCAGGTTGCATAAGCCATCAAACAGTTCATATTTTATACCTCCTGAGAGTGAAAGGTCATTTCCTCCTAGAGAAAGCATCTCAAGAGAGATCATGTTCCCGATTGCAACTGGGAATGGGCCAGTAATATCAGTGAATGCAAGGTCAAGCTCTTTCATTGTGCGAGCATCCCAAAACCAGTATGCTGGATTCAATGTCTCAAGACTGTTGAACGTTAGATCAAGTGTTTCAAGTGAACTCAGATTTGAACTACCCTTGGGTTCACGTGGTAAACTAAGCCCACAATAACTGAGTTTAAGGACCTTAAGATTTGGAAGGAGGGTCATCACCTTCACCCAGTTATCGGTTGTACTGAGATTCACTCCACTCATGTCGAGAAATCTTAGTAAACGGAGATTTAGTATCCATGATATATCATCAGAGTGCACAGCATTCTCGTAGGAATGGGAAAGGGATGATTCGAGGTTAAGATATATTAATCTAGAGAGATTACCAATTTGAGGAGGCACTCTACCATCGAAATTCATGCAGGCGAGATTGAGATGCATCAAACTCTTCAGTGATCCGATGAATCTTGGTATGGGCACGCCTGCTCCCCCAAGATGGTTTCTGCTGAGGTCCAGATGCGTCAGGTGCTGTAAAGCAATCAAAGAACCTATTTGCCCCTGCAACTTTACTTGGTTGCTTCCGCTTATCTGGCCCTTTTTTCCGAGGTCGCACACATCTTGTTGGAGAAGTCTTCGTAACTTTACTCATGCTGAGAAATGACTAGTACCGAGTCAACTATCAACGACTGATACAGACACTACACTAACAACAGGATCACTCCAAATCCCCCCAATTATTACTGATCATATTGTCTAATTACTACTGATCATATTGTCAACTATCAGCAAGTTTAGCTGCCAGCAACAATGCAGATGCTTCGGCCTCTATGGGTTGCAGGATACTTTGTATAGCCACCTGAAAAAAAAAATCCCACTACGAATACTATGTGATGGAGAAGTGAGGATGAAGATTCCAATTCCAGTTTGTGTCATTTGACTCCACACAAACAGAAGCATCACAAAAGATTTTTTGTGCCATCAGGAACCTGCATGTTTTGGTTTGTAGAATGCATACCTTGGGGCCTGTTATTGTTGGCTTGTATTGGAAGATGGAGAGTAGGGCCACAAGTTTCAATCTCCGTTGACAAATTGTAAGCCAATTCAATGGCTTTTGCTTCATCAAGCACTTTCATAGGCGACCAATTCTCTCCTTTGAACCTATGATCATTTCGAGATTTCCAAATACACCACATGATTGAAAAATTTTGGTTCACCGTTACCTGGTTTGGAGCTTGCTGCAAATGCACTCCCCGACCTGAGGAAGGAAGGGCATGAGTTCTTAGGCCTACCGAGGAGGCAAACCAAACAGTGTGGGCTTTAGACTAATTTGATGGAAAGTAAAGACAGCCCCTCTGCTATAAATTTGAAAACATTCCTTTCATATTTGGCTAAAATGAGTCTACATTTAGAGTTTGCTCCTTTTGAGTGGGCTTGGCATACATAATTGATTCTGTGAATCGCTTGGGTTAAATTTTAGCAATGAAACAATTATTTCTGTGCCACATTAGTTGTAGCACTGGGAAGGCCATAACACAACACATGGATGTTAGGAAATTACAGATCAGAATATAAATAAAACCCAATAAATCCCATCAATGATTAAAAGAAACAAGCCGTCACCTAAGAGAAATTTCAAGAGCTCCTTAAAATAACTCTCTAAGTTAATTTGTTGGCAAAAAGGTAAAAAGGACCTGTAATATAGTTTTGTAAAATAACTATCTCTCGTTGAAAAGCTCAAATAGGCTAGGATTAGGAGGGAGAAAGGGGGATATCAGGATGTTGTGGTCTGCGGCCGACCTCGGGGATCCACCGAGCAGTGGGTAGCTGGGCCAGTCCGTCGTGTGCGCGCGGCCCTGGCCGCCATGCCATGACGTCATCCGTTTCATGAAAAAGTCTACGTTACCTCTCTCTCAACTTTTGTGAAAGTCTGTTTTTCCTCCATGACTTTAAGGATGGAACGGATCGGGTTCGGATTTGGAGTCTCCGTGCATCCTCCGAAACCGAATCCGCCTAAAACCTCGGGTGGAAATCCATCACCAAAACCAAACCCACGGATACCCAAAACCCGAACGGATACGAAACCCGAATGGATACCGTTCGCGGATATATATTCACATGTATAAACAAGAGGCAACAAATAATAAATATTTTCATGAGTCAACTTTAAATAAATTTAATAATCTAAGTAATAAATTATTATTAGTATTTATAAAACATGAGTTTTAATTCCAAATGATTTATTTTTATCCATTGGATTTCACGGTTTCGAACCCGATTATTTTGGGGCCTGAATATTTAAAAAATCATAAGATGGAAATATCCAATTAAACCCGATGGACTGCCATCCTTAGTAAGATCTACGGTGTTAACATATTATCTTTTTTCTTTTTATTTATTTCGGCTGAATATTTAAAAAATCATAAGATGGAAAATACAATTTTGTTGGACTCCACATGAATAGATCTACACAATGAAAATATAACATAGTATGGTTTAGTATAAATTTTTTGCTATAACTTTATATCTATATTTTTCTATAATAATTAATTCATAGCTGTAGTTTGAATAGTTCAATTATGGTAAAATTTTTATGGTAGGATAATTATTGTATGTTTGAACTGTAGTAAAAATTTCATATGGATCATGTATAATAACTTAGTTATAGATTATTTATAAATAGGCTAGGAGGAGAGAGGGATGTGGTCTGCGGCGGACCTCGGGCATCCTCCGAGCAGGGGGTAGCTGGGTCAGTCCGTCGTGTGCGCGCGGCCCATGACGAGAGAAGGCCCAGCCCATCCCTTGGTGCGCCGCGAGAAGGCCAGACCACCTGGGGCTGGGGGAAATCAAAGCAAAACGCTCGTGGCGCGGCGGTGGGGGAACGGAGCGGATGGTGCGGTGTCATGTGGGCCTTGTTCGAAGCGGCGGCCGCGAAGTCGGCACGCACTCGTCCATGCTCCCGTTCCGGCGGGCGCGGCGTTAGGTGGCCAGCACAAAGCGGGTCAAAGACAGCCGACGCGTGATGTAGGCCGGCGAGCGAGACCGTATCGTTGAGACGGCGACCTTGTCCGATCCCTCGCGTGTCGTCCTATCGCTTGGGTTAAGCTGTCAAGCCACTGATAATAATGCCATTCTGTATTTCTGTTTATGATTATATATGGAAAAAAAATGAGAATCCTACCTAACGTGTCGATTATTTCTGAACGATTGTGTGTTGGATTTAGTGTACTTGGTATGGAAAATAAGTGTGTTAGTCCCCCAACACTGAATTTTTTACTTGCACCTTAGGTACACTAGTTAAATTTACATCAGATTTTACAGTTACGTTGCACATTATGTTACGCCTACCTTTTAGGTGTGTTTTTAGATGGTAAAATAAAAATTAGGGTGTTACAACCTTCCATAGACTGTGTAGCCTGCAATAGATCTAGGCCGTGTTTTACATAGCTCAGCTTTACTTGTACAAGTAGTAGTTTTTTTTTTTTTTGGCTTCAGCTCTACGAGCAGCTCTGCCGATAGAGCTGAAGCTGTTTTGATGAATTATTTGGCAAAATAGCTCAATATGCATAGTTTCTTAAAATATGCTATCACAGAATCCCACATGGGGGCCCAAAGTGCGAGTTGAAGCTGGGAGAAATAACTATTTTCGGTTTCATCCCACACCCATTCCTTGAGCACGTTTAAAGGATCTTCACATGTGTAGTTGTTTAAAAACAATACTTACAATTAAACTACTTATTTTATCATTTTAAAAAAATGGTCACTTCAGATTATCTTCAATAATAAGATATATAGGTGTGGTGTCTTAGATTATTATTTCCAGTAATAATGCGAGTAACTTTTAAAAATATAAAAAAGATGCGTTGGCTATATTGTTAGTGATGATGATTAGAGCCGCATAATAATGGCCGTATTGACGACGTGGAAAGATATCGAACGCACGCACGCACGGCCCACTCACCTACCTACCGGGCCGGTCCTTTTGCATTTTCCCTGTCAGTGCAAAAGGAGCTTCAATTCTTTGCCTGCTGGTGTATGTTTGGAGACAGCAAAACAAAGGGCAGAACCGAAGGAGGGCAGGACCAGCCCGGGGCGACGACGCATGCATGCGAAAAATAATCCGGGGGCCAGGGCAGGCAGCCTCGTCGTTCTCTTCATCAAGTGGTCGCCAGTCGCCACCCCTCACCTCTCGTTGTCTCGCCAGCATCTTCACTTACTCTGAAACAAACATTCAGATAACATTAAGTCCACGTGACCTTGTGTCGTGGTGCGGACTTGCCAAAAGCGTTGGTCGGCAGCTCCGTGAGAACAAAGTGAAGATGCTGGTGTTGAATCAAATGCAGTTGAAAGCCGGTAGCGGCGGTGCAGACCTCGACTTCCATAGTTCCATGTCAGCAGTAGCATGGTTCCTGTGAGAGGGTGAACGCGATGAAGAAGTGGAGCGATGGTAGAGGAGGCTAGCTCGGGGACGGGGACCTGCTCCACCCCTCCTGCGCGCATGCCAGACAGAACTCATTTCACCTGCGAAGAGCTTCTGCCACCGAGCCCGCACATGGCTACTTATGAGCAAAGGTTACCTCTTCCTGGCCCGTCCGACGCGTAATCCACGCTCCAGCTCAACCAATGTCCCTCTGACTTAGAGCCGAATATGTTAGAAGATCTCGTTCCGGCGGGACGACGGGCAGACGACCGCGCGCGACAGGGCACGCAGGTCTCCCTTTCGGCTCCGGCCCCGCCGGCCACCTTTCGATGACATTCTCTGATTGGTCGGGGGGCCACATGATGCAACGGCCGAGGCCAAAGGTGTCCTCCAAAGAGGGCCATGAAGGCCGGCCTCACTTTTCATGCATGCTACCAATCTTCTGTCCTCTGAGATGTCGTTCATCATCCCTATCTATACCTATACTTACGCGCGTGCATCCTTGCATGTCAGACTCCTCCTATTTGACCAGTAGAATGCACCGGCTGAATTTGAACTTGGCAGCGAGTATCGTCTACTCTCCTAGCTCCAAAAATGCACATTAAAATCCTACAACTTACTAAGACCAATATCGGTGAGAGTTTTATGTAGGTTTTATTTGCATTTAATAGGCCGTCACATGACATTTTTATGATATGACAATTGTCCTGTTCGCTTGGCTGATAAGCCATGGCTGAAAGCATTGTTGCTGATTTGTTGTGAGAGAAAAATATTATTCGTTGACTGAAAAAGTACGGCTTATAAGCCAAGCAAATAGGACGAATGCTTTTAAGAAGAGAGAATAATTGAGTTTCATCTCTCTCGACACGGTTATCAACTCACCGCCATTATTGTCCTAATTACTTCACACGAAGTCCTATAAATAAACCGTGCTAATTAAACTGCTGAGTATAATATGCCGGTGGACCTTAAACTAGTTTTGGTAGTTAACAATGTTTTCTGGATCTCTAAACTCTCGAAATGCAATCTAGGAGTTTAGAGTGACAATACCTGAGCGGCTGAGCCTAATTTCCTATAGCTGGATGACACTCGGCCAAATTTAAGGCCCGGCAGTACATACATTTTCCTCCCTCATGGCTTGCATCGCAAAAGGCCTTGCCTCCCAGCAGGCTCTCCCCGGTGCAAACTTTTCCAACGTACATTACGGAGCAAGCACGTACATGAGAGGTCGGAATATCTCTCGCGAAATCCTCTCCGTTCTCCGATCCTCTTCATGCCCCTTTCTCTCTCTACGTCTGTCTGTAATCTTTTCTTGTGATATCACGGACGGCGGGCCGGGGTCTGTATTCAATATTTATATTTATATTCCTAAATATATCTGTCTGTAAAAAAGTAGCTATTGCAGTAGTGCGGCAGATGGGTCGGTGAGAGCGAAACGACAAGGCAAAAGTTAGCTCGCACGTGTCTGTTTCCGTGTTTATTTTCTCCTCGTCGACTTGTAAAGCTAGCGTACGTGGAACAGATTAGCTAAGTCATCCATGATCCATCCCTTCTTCTTATTGTAATCCACCGTGCTCTCTAGTCTTTAAATCCATCTCGTGGATTTCTGATGTGTGACAAAAACATTTTTCCTTTCTCCTTTCACTAGCACGGCATTGCTTAGTATATTTGTCGCGGAGGATTCTGCACTAGCATTTGTCGCGGAGGATTCTGCACTAGCATGTGTCATCTTCCATGAGATGGCACATGAGTTTGCTAGTTTATCTAGGAGTACAA